AGGTATGTATGCTCTTTTGCTTTTACTTGTCAGAACATCTCTGGCTCAATGGGGCTAGTTTACAAAAATGGCTTGGCCAGGTTCAGTTTTCTACAGTAGTCAGTTCCTTGCAGGATCAGGCTGATTCAGAACTGTGAAAATACCTGTGATGTGGATTTCACATACCCCATTTGGACATTTCTATCCCTTGTTTCTGTTTATTCTGTCTTTTGGATGCTTTTGTCTTGCATTTGCATGTGTGAATCGCACGGTTTTGTTCAGCGAAGCTCCCATCCCACAGATCCTCTCCAAATCATAACTCAGATTGTTCATATGAGAATTGCTTTTTAAGGCAGAACAAATCAGTGCTTCTCTTGGGAAGGAAACCAAATGAGCTTTTCTTAGGTTGGCAATTCAGTCCAATTATTTCACTGATCTTTGTTCATTTAATTCATTTGAAGTGGAACAATCAGAAGAAACAGGTCAGAGCTACAATGCAAACAGGAAATTACGATTTCCCAATCTGAGGAAAATGAGATTTTAGAACACATTCCTTTATTTTTTATTTACTTATGAAGCCTTATTCTTTTGTCATGCATCCTGGTAGTGCTTTATTGCAGAGCACAGCAGTCTTGGGAGAACTATTAGAATAACGTCAGTGCCCCTCACAACAGAACTGTGTAGCTAAAGCCACAGGTACTGTAAATAAGCTCAACTCTATTGATTGCCTGGGACCAGTTTAGAGTAGCTAAAAAATTGCAGTTCACAGGAGGGAAAGGATGAGGTTTCACTCCTTGGATACCATAATTACATAGAAACATAGAGTATCCTGAGCTGGAAGGAACCAATGTGGATCACTAAAGTCCAACCCCTGACCACGCACAGGATAATCCCAAGAATTACACCATGTGCCTGAGAGCATTGTCCAAATGCTTCTTGAACTCTGTCAGGTTTGGTGCTGTGACCACTTTCCGATGGGGAGCCTATATCAGTGCCCAACCACCCTCTGGATGCAGAACCTTTTCCCAATATCTAATCTGAATGTCCCCTAACACAGCTTCAGGCCATTCCCTCAGGTCCTGTCACTGGTCAGCAGAGAGAAAAGATTGATGCTTGCCCCTCCTCTTCCCCTCATGAGGAAGTTGTAGATTGCTATGATCTCCCCTCCATTTTCTCTTCTTCAGGCTGAAACACATGCTTAATGATAGCATATGTTATCATTAAAAAGTTCAGAAGGAGACTTCTTGCAGTGACACTAAACACTTACTCCTTTTTGACAACAAAGGTTGATTATGTATAGAACTTCTACTCTGGTTATTGACTATCTTCCCCACAGGGCCCGACTCTGTATTTTGGTCTGTGAGGTGTACTGCCTCTATACTGACTGAATTACTGGGGTTTATGCTCAGATGACTAATGACAGGAATTGGCCTGAAGATGTGGAAGGACAGCTCCAACATAATGCCTGCTTCCAGCTCAGGGCCCGACTCAGCTCAGTGAAATCAGTGAAACTGAACACTGCACCAGTGCTCTGAGCCCAAGCCAGCAGAGAGCAGGGTGGGTTTACAGAACACAGGTCACAGTCTAGCTGGCTTTATCCTCTTCTCAGATCTACTTTTTGCCTCACAGATTAGAAATTCTTCAAAATGCTGTCCTGATGCTGGATGCAGGAGGACACTGCAGTGTATCTTCCAGAAAGTGCTGAGTTTGAATGTTTCCAGTCTATTACGGGCTCAGGATTTCATTCTACAATGGACTAAGTCAAGGCTCCTATTGCAATTAACTTCTGTTTTTCCAGTGCATTTTGGAGAAGTTACTGATGTGTCACCTACCCTTTTTTTTCCCCCTTTGTTTCTCAGAGGCTACTGGAAACTCACAAGCCAGCTGGTTCTGGAGTTAAAGGGAGGCCCAGCATGTGAGACAAACTCTAGTGAAAGGGAAAGCAGTTGGAGAAAGACACCTGTGCATAATTATTTCTTTCTCAGAAGACTGTCAAAGTACATATTACAAAAAAGTGCAAAATATGGACTCAATGATCGCGAAATTTTTCCAATTTCGTTTCCTTTTCCAATTTTAAAGAATACAGCTCAAGATCATGTATAAATTTTATGGTCATTTAGCCATTGTATTATTGTCGGTATTTCTCCAACTCACAGGAATCTAATGAATACAGTAAAATGGACCTATTTATAGACCCCAGCATGATATGAGAGGCTATTTCATTATATGCAAATAAAGGCAAATAACAAGACGGGCAGTGTAACAAAACAGAAAAAGGAGAAAGGGAAGGCTTTTTGCTCATTTTGTCTCCTGAAAATAGTTTAAGCCATACACTAAAATTAACTTACTGAAGACAAAGGTTTTCTAAGTGTATTGTTCGAAAAAAAGATTGATAGAAAGTATTTTAAGGCGTATCACCTCACAAGTAATTTTCTAGTAGCTGTAAGATTTCTAAAACACAGATATTCACCCTGAATTGCTGTTAGAAAGATAGAGCTCTCCCATTCTTTTTTTGCAGTATCACTTTCTTCCTTCAGAGCATAACACACAAAGCACGAAGAAGCAAAACTTTCCAAGCGAAGACAAGGGAATGTAGACCCTTCATATCCCTCAAGCTGTTGCAGAATGCTCCTGCAGTACCTTCTTTGTTGATCAATAAGAGGATAAAAACATTTCATCTTGGAAGGGTCTTTTGACCAGACGTTGTGTATTGGGTCTGGCTGAGATGGAGTTAATTTTCCCTGCAGCCCATGGTGTAGACCATGGTGAGGCAGCTGTCTCCCTGCAGCCCATGGTGTAGACCATGGTGAGGCAGCTGTCTCCCTGCAGCCCATGGAAGTCCATGGTGGGACAGACATCCACCTGCAGCTTGTGGAGGGCCCCACACTGGAGCAGGTGGATGCCTGAAGGAGGCTGTGGCCCCCTGGGAAGCCCACACTGGATCAGGATCCTGGCAGGACCTGTGGCCCCATGGAAAGAGGAGCCCGTGCTGGAGCAGGCTTGCTGGCAGGACTTAAAATGGGGGACTCGTGCTGGAGCACCCTGTTCCTGAAGGACTGGACCATGTGGAAGGGACTGACAGCGGAGCAGTTAATGAACAATTGCAGCCCATGGGAAGGACTCATGTTGGAGAAGTTTGGGGAGGACTGTGTCCTGTGGGAGGGACCTCAGGCTGGAGCAGGGGTGGACAGCAAGGAAGAAGGAGTGGCAGAGACAACATGTGATAAACTGACCATAACCCCCCATTCTCTGTGCCTTGTTGTAGTAGGAAGCCAGGACCTGCAAAGGGTGTGTATCTAGATGAAACACCTGGGAAGTGCAACCAGTGCTTGAGTGTTCTGAGGAACAATAGCAGAGCAGTCTGGCACTTGGTGCACACCTGTTCAGCTAGCTCCCCTACCAGTGCTTCCACAGCACTGCCTGGAGTACTCCTTAGGGGTCAGTCCAGCAGAAAAGGAATGAAAAAAGATGCTCTTCAAATGCTTTCTGCCTTCCCAAGTTTTCTGTTCTGATCCTCAAAAACTCTGTTATTCTGAAGACTGATGTGATAGCTATATGAGACAGACAGCTTGAGTTTCTGATGGGGTTTTAAGAGTTTTAGACATGGTCTTTTCTTCTCCTCAGGCCTTGTTGTGTCATGTGGTTCATCTTTCCCATGTAAAATGATTCTCAGTGAGGGGAAAGCAGTGAGTAACTCCACAAACCTGAGCACTTCAAATGAATTTCTAATGTCGCATTGCGTTCAATGACATGCAGAAAAAAGCAGCAGCCTTTCCTTTAGGAATGACATGGCTTCTGCTGACATTTTCCAGCTGAAGAATCACTTCATATATAATACACACTCTTTGTTTTCAGCTTTTCTGAACCCTGTGAAAAGCAGAATCAGAGGTGAACAGGTGAAGTTCGAGGGAATGCAAAAGCCTCGAGGGAGCCTCAGCATATGAAAATGAGCGTCAGCTCCCTCCAGGAGGTCAGGGAGTGAGGGCCAGAGCACTGAAAAGAAACCTGTTCAGCGGTACATCGAAGAGAAACGCCTCTCATGAGGGAGAAGGTGTCGGCCCCAGCGGGGAGACCGGCTGTGGGGTACCATCCCCTCAGGTTCGCCTCGGGCAGGGACGGAGGGGCAGAGTCCCGGGAAATCCGCGCCGCGCCGGCTGCCGATGGGGACGCGCTTTCAGGCCGGCAGAGGCACGTCCCCACCCGCCATCCTGCCCATCCCCGCTCCCGCCGGCCCCCGCCGCCGCCCCGCTCGGCCCCTCGCGCCGCCGCCGGCCGAGAGGAAGGCGCAGGGGCAGCGTGTGCGAGGGAGGGCGGCGAGGAGCCGGCCCGGAGATCTCCTCCTGAGAGCCGCCGGCCCCTCTGGGGACGCCGCCGAGCATCCCTGCTTCCTTCCCAGGTTCTCCCCTCGGCACGGCCGCGGGGCGGCGGCCGAGGCAGCAGCTGGCGCGGTTGAGCGCGGCCGGGAGGCGGAGGGGGCGGCGGCGGGACTCTGCCTGGCCCACAGGCATCGATGCTCCGGCCCCCGCCCGGTGAGGCGGGATGAGCTCCGCCCCGCAGGGAGAGAGCGCCGCGGGCGCCGGAGCGTGTGCCGCTGCCGGAGGCCGCCTCGCCCGGTGCCGTCCCTTCTCGTGTCGCCGCCCGGGGCTGCGGGTCCTCGCTCCGCCAGCGGCCCCGGGCCGGCCCTGCCCCTGCGCCTACCCGCGCCGGGCTCCAACTTTCCTCGGCGTGGCACGAAATGTGCCGGGGCGCCGCCGAGCCGCTTTGACGTCTTGATCCTCTCCGAGAACTTAAACAGGATCGCAAAGCCCTTCGAGCGGCTTTTCCGTGAGCCGGTTAGGCGCTGGGGCTCTGCCGTAATCCGCCCGCGCCGCGCGGGGGCGGGCCGGCGGGGCCCTGCCCTGCCCCGCCGCCCCCGCCGGGCCGCGCCGGGCCGGGCTGCGCTGCCGGGGCTTGCCGGCTGCCGCGGCCGGGAAAGGTTTCCGCGCTGGAACCGCGCCGGGAAGGGCAGCGCTGACCGCCAGCGTCGCTCGAGGATCGCGGCCCCGGGGCATCCGCATCCCACAGGCAGGCGGACGGTCGGACGGAGCTCCAGAGTTCGGGTGCTGCGGAGGAAGGCGTGGGCAGGTGAGTCTGGAAGAGGAGGCAATAAGCCTCCCTTTCTGTCATGCCCGTGAGAGCGGGATCGTGTCCTGCATGGGACTTCAGTTCCAAACCTTAACTCAGAAGCTTGAAATGAAAACGTAACTTACAATATTTATTTATTTATTTATTTAGTTAGTTAGTTAGTTAGTTTTAAATGAAAGTGTTCATTTGGTTAATTGACACAGAGTTCTGCATACTCACAATCAAATTGGATTCAGGACACGAATCCATACAAAAGTGAGGCCGAGGGGCACTTACACCATTCCTGTTGACCGATACTTAATTTTGCCAGTTTGATCGATGTGTCTCTTAACTTCTCTGCTCTCTGGTTGCTGTGGTGTAAGCAGGAGGTTGTTTGTATATGTTGTTTCCTGTATAAAGGAAATGCTAGCAAATAATGCAAGTAGTGAAAGGGAATAATTTTCCAGTGATTCTCAGTGCTCCCAATAAATTGACCTTGGTTCTAGCCGTATGACATCTTTTGCAAAACTCCTGTAGTGTAATCCAGGCCATAGTGTGCCTAAGAATATGCAAGATACAATAATAACTATAATCAGAGTCTTTCTCTAATGAGAGGTCCACTCACTTGCTGAGAGAAAAAAGTCAAAAGAAGACAAGAAAAAATGACCTGAGCGTTACAGTTCTCTGAAGAAACGATGTTAATGTAAATGTTGGTACCTGTTGAGTGTGGACACTTTTAACTGTATTTTGTTTTCCAGATTTATAATTGTTGCATTCAAAGCAAGTATTAGAGGAATGTTGTATTTAAAATCTGTAATTTTCGTTGTTACAAATAAGTAAAGTGTAGTTTCAGATGCTACAGGTTTTGAAATAGCATAACTTTGCCTTCAGTTACCAGGTTTTTTTTCCCCTCTGGTATTGTTTATGTAATTTTCTTTGAGTTATGTATGCTAAAACCATCTGATTAGAAAAATACAGGTGCAGATGATAATGGGACTGTAAGGATGTCTAATTAGCAAGGGTAGTCATAGTAAACATGCTGTGAACAACTTGAGGGAAGAGCACATCAGTGTTAAAAAAGTATACAGCATCCTTCCATGTTAGCATCTCTCAGCTTTGCCTTCTGTGTATCCCAGCTCTTGTCATCTAATTTGCACCCAAGCTCAGTCATTTTGGTGCAGCATGTTGTCCTGCAGCCTTCTCTGATGTTGCCATCTCTTTTCATTAGCATCTCTTAAATCCTCTTCTGTCGAATGTCTTGTTACTGCTTGTGAAACGTGACAGAATTTACCTCTCAAGCTCTCCTTCCCTAGCCAAGTGGAATAGCTCCAAAGGTTTACTTAATGTGGGCAGGGAGTGAATTTGAAGGGGTAATATTCACATGTATGCACGTGCATGCATGGAAACTTACATATATATTTTATAGACACGCATCCAGAAGTATAAACTTGCTGTGTTTTAGCTGTATTCATGCCCCTGTTATGTTCCCTTTTAAGAGTTATCTTGATAAATGAATGCACTGACAGAGACATTGTCAGAACTGGTGGTTTTCAGACAGTGGCTACAGAAGCCTTGCACAGAGCTTATTTGCTGTATAGAAACATGGGTACTGAGTACCTGCATCTTGTTAGCCCGTACCAGCAACAGAAACAACATGATGTAGCTTGGTTGTCTAGTCAGCTGTAATTTGTAATTTATTGTGTTTTAATTTACAACATTATGTTCAATATTCATGGCTAGTTTCTCTTAAATAGTTTCCAGTCTAAAAAATAATATATTCACAGAAAATGGTCTGCAAAAAAGTTTAGCAGATCTTAGAAAATTGAACTGCACTACTAATAATTCATAAATACAGAAGGGAAACTCAGTTCAAATAACCATTTATTCTAAAGGTTATTTTGGTACTACAAGGTGCCAGGGACTCAGCCATCAGATTGAGCAAGGCTAATCGTGTGCATTTCATTCTAAAACTCTAAATTTTACATACAAGCATATGCAGTGTTGTGTGGAGTATACACACATCCTAGAGTACCTGTAAAAGGTATTTGACAGATCTTTGGTACTGAGGCTACTAGGCTATGCATGTAAACTATGTTCATTTTCAGGAGATGTCAGTGCCCATAGACTGTGGTAAATGCAATATGTTGCAGCAGAGAGTAATAAAATTTGAAAAGTGTGCTTTTAAAAGAGGTCCTAGGATTTAAGAATTGTTGATTCAAACTGTTATGCATAATGATTCATGAAGGTAAGGTGGTGCAGCTTGCTGATTATTTTTTCAGCCCCTTGGGTTTGATCTAGTAGCCTTTATACAAAGTTGATGTCCATGACAACATGCCAGAGTCCTATCTGCGGGTTAATTTACAAACCTCCAAGTGGTTGTGCCTTGTCTTCACACTGTGTAGTTACTTAAAGATCCAGTGTCTAGTCTTTGATGTCCATTTGTTGCCTGTTCTGGTCATATCATTGGTGCTGCAGGCTGTCACACGTAACATACACAAGATACAGAATATACAGCTGAGCTACAACTATTACCAAGTGATATAACAAGGATCATGTAGGTGGAGGTCAAATCCCGAAATAAATCCCAAAGTCTTAGCAGGGTTGAACCTGAGCGGCTGTGTGAGGATTTAGAACGTGTCTTAACTGAAATGATGTAAGTGATCCTATGCAGCTTATTACTGCTTCCATAGCAATAAATGAAATGTTGAAAGCCTCAAGAACTACAGTATTTTACCAACTAGACAAACACATAAGATCCATTACAAAACTGTATGTAAGGTCATCCTTTACTTTGTGATGGTGAAACATATTTCACCTTGGAAAGCTGGTTTTTGAATTCTGTCATATTTTCCCTCCGTCTAAATAAATAAGCTTTGAGAATATTAAGTGGCAATATAAATAGCTTGATCTACCATCACTGCTTGATAAACAACTACATTTATTTTGTATCAGGTGAATTAATTCTTGGTTGGATAATGATTTTGAATTAAGTTAGGGTGAATTAACATATTCTACCCCAAAGGGGAACTAGTAGAATAGCCCAAATGTGAACTCTCAATGCTCTTGAGAAGGACACTATAGTAATTCAAAGTTCTTTCACAGATGTTTGACAAGCTGTACAATTCATTTTCGTGGCTTAGCTGATGGCCATCAACTTCCTAAATTTTATATAATTTATAATATTAAAGTGTGTGCCTGGGTTTTTGTCCTACTGAGTATGTGCAAAATTGTCTGAAACATAGGACAAAAAGCTGCTCAGAGGCCTTGACAGTGTCCAAATAGCCGTGGGTGCTGAAAACAGACATTCCTGCTGGTGCTCCAGTATATGTCCTCAGAGCACTGAAAACACATGAGAGAGTTATGTGTGAATATATCCCATAATCTATTGGTAGCAGGCTCTGGAGAAAGGAGTAAAAATGTTTTGGCTTGCTTAACTTGAAGCAGACTCAAAAAGCTTCTCATTTTTGAGGTGCAGCTGCTCAGCACAATACAATTTGCTGCACATGAGCGAACAGATTTGAGAAAGAGGGGAGTTAATGTCTGTCAGTTGGGTGCCACCTCTTTTTGGCCTGGAGTTAGATGCTCAGTTATTTTCAGTCTCCCATTTTAGCTTCAGTCTTTTCATATTGGCTAGCACATGTAGCTCCCCTCTTAGAGCCTTGTTCCTGGGTACCTGAATTTCTTTATGCCTGCTTTAAGATATCCACTGGATGGCACAGCTCCTTAAATTTAGATACTGCAGCCTTCATACCTCTTGTCCTAAGTCTATACAGATATGGTTCTAAAGAGATAAGTAGAACCTGATTTTCCAAACTAGTAAAGGCTTATGTGAATCTGAAGTTTTCATGTGTTATTTGAACTCATATTTGTTGTCAAACAACTTACTGTCTTGATAAAACAGGTCTTTTATACCAGATAGTGCATATAAAATAATTTGACACAAAAGATCAGTTTCTATTGAATCCAAGAGGATAAAAGAGTACATGAACTATTTGCATTTGGAGTAGGCAGTGCTATCAGTAATGTATGATTTGTTGCATTTTTAGTAGAATAATACATCTTTGTCATTTAGCTCTAGTTTCAGTCTCAGTGATTTAAGTACTGAAAAGCAATATTCTTGAGTGCGGAATTATTTATTATTCATCTTTTTCAGGTTAGTACAATTGGTAGCAAGGACAGAAAGACTAAGTGAGAAAGCATGTTAAAATTCTGCTTAAGACATTGGTAAAGATGTCAATCTTTCAAGAGCTAGGAGGGTTTCAGCTAAGTTTTATTTTGCTGGATGACTAGATTGAGGGTCAGAGAACTATCCTTCTGTTTGTCTGTCTGTTTCTCTTGTTCAGTCGCTTGTAGGCTAAATACCTGTTCTGAGGACCTAATGTGGATTTATCAGGCTTGTCAGCCTTTAGGTAATCAAGTTTTACTCTCAATGTAATTACTACCTTTAAATATTCAGAGTAGAGAGTGTAGTTCTGAGATAATACAGATTTTATAGAAGGCAAATACCAATGTGTGGTGGGTGCAGGCCCCCAGGGGCTGGCAGGGTGCTGTGGGGCCCTCTCTGAGGAGCAGCCAGGGCTGCCTGTGCTGGACACAGATGTCTCCAGCTGATCCCCTGCAGCCAAGATGGTGGCACTCTGGGGAAAAGCACTTAAGAATGAGTATAATGCTATGAAAACAGTGTGTTGGGAATGAGGGGAGGAAAAAAGGGTGAAAACAGTTCTGCTGACACCAAGGGCAGAGAAGAAGGAGCAGAGGTGATGTTCTCTATGCACTGGAGCAGAGATTCCCCTGCAGCCCATGGAGGGGACCATACTGGAGCAGATATCCACTGTGGAGGACCCTACAGTGGAGCCAGTAGCTATTTCCTGAAGGAAACTGCAGCCAGTGAAGAGGAGCCCATGTGTGAACAGGTTCTCCTGCCAGGAACTGTGGCCCATGGAGGACCCACACTGGGGCGGTTTGTGAAGGACTGCAGCCTGCAGCAGGGACCCACACTGGAGCAGGGGCAGTGTGAGGAGGAAGAAGCGGCAGTGAGGAAGCATTGTGGACTGACTGCAACCCCTCATTCCCCACCCACTGTGCTGCTGGGTAGGGTGGGAGGTTGAGGAATTGGGAATGTAGGGGTGAAATTGAATTTGGGGAAAAAATGAAGGATAGAGTTCTTTTTGTTTCTCACCATCCAACTCTATTTTAATTTGCAATAAGTTAATTGAATTTTCCCCAGTTTGAGCCTGTTTTGCCTGCGATGATAATTGCTAAGTGATATTCCTGTCCTTCTCTACCCATGAGCTTTTGCATCTTACTTTTTCCTGCTGGACTGCTGAGGAGGGGTAGTGAGAGAGCAGCTGGGTTGGCATCTGGCAGCCAGCCAAGGCCAACCCACCACACTACTGTAACAACTATGTTTTTAAATACAAAGCCGAGCTCTACTCACTTCTTAAAACTCCCTGATAAGAACCAGTATTTAGTAGCAATTTTGGAACTGCAGATCCCAGACAATTGGAGCTGTCTCTCTGTGGCCCTGCAAAAGGTGTTTGCGGAGCCTGACGGCTCTTCAGGACTTTCCTGCTGGTTCCTCCTGATAGCTCATGATAAGCTGCTCCCTAGTCAGTCACTTGCCAGATTTTGGATCCAATGTTGAAATGCTGATCTCCTCCCTAGACCATTGAACACATTTATCATTAGGATTCTTGGAGGCCTAGAAAGAACAAATATTTCTCCTTTATCAGATAGCCAGTAATTTTTCAGAATTTTATGGGGTTCATGCAGTGCCAAACCATGTTACTTCAGGAGGTCTCGCCACCTGCTCTGTACTCAAATTGCTGCATTATTTATTTCTATCACTCCTGTGTTCAGTTTCCCTCCACCACAGCTGGGCACACAAAACACACCTTCATCCACTGTCCCTACCTCCTTCCAAAAATGCATGATTGTATTTTATTGCTTAATAGTAGAGTTGTATTTCCGTGAAATGTTCCCCCCCTCCTTTCCTCCAGTATAGTGTAGAATAAGAGTTCAGAACACATTGTATATTGAGTGTGAACTTTACAGCTGAAATTATTGTAACGGATCTGAAATGAGCTCCAATTTTACCTACATAATTTTATTTTATTCTTCATCTTTCTAGGGTGAGCAAGACCATTTTTATTTCTCTCCCTTCTCTATGTCCCTAATCATTCTTGCCATGCTTTTATGCTGCTTTATCTTTCTGTTCAAGAGAAGGACTAATAGTGTTCTAAATAACTCTGCACTGTTGTTTTGTGGAACAGTTTTAGTGTTCTTTGTGTCATTAACATTTTCCATGTATATATTGTCAGTTATTGCATCAGCAAGCCTGCAGTGAGCTGTACATGTACCATAAGTTCATAGGATGGTCTGAGCTGAAAGGGACCTTAAGGACCATGTAGTTCCAACTCCCCTGCCATGGGCAGGGACACCTTCCACTAGACCAAATTGGTCCCAGCCCCATCTAACCTGGCCTTGAACACTTCCAGGGATGTGGCATCCACAGCTGCTCTGGGCAACCTGTTCCAGTGTTTCACCACCATCATAGTGAAGAATTTCTTTCTCATACTTAATCTAAAACTACTCTCAGGTTCCCTTTCTGAGAGCATATGGCCCATTTGGAAGCATGTGAGGCAGTAGCTTACATGCTGTTCACCTGCGTTCATTGGTTTCCATTTGCCTATGTTGCACATCACTTGTCATCAAATTGAGAAATTGATATAGTTGTTGGGGGTCACCCTGAAGTTCCTTGCACTCCTTTTGTTACTCCTGCCTATAGTATTTTTTGCCATACTGAGATCTTCTTGTATCACCACTCCTTCTTTTCATCAGCATCATTAATGACAGATTTTCCTGTGGAGCTCTGAGGAATACTGTTCTTAAACTTCTGCAGTGGTGAGGGGGGCTGTTTAATCCTGTTCTTGCTTTCTGTCTTCTCATTTTTAATCCAAAATAGTATTTGGCTTCATATCCTATGACTTGTTTTGTTTCTATAGTGGCATAGTTTTTGGAAGTCTAAATGAGGTTTACGAGTGTTTTCTGTATTCAGCGCTTCCACTGGCATACTCAAGCCTTTCGAGGAGATTTGGAATATCTAATTCCAGTATCTATTAATAGTGTTTAAGTCCAGACTAGTAATATCTAATTTCAGGAGATTAGTAACATCTAGAGAAGCCATTTCAGTTTTAAGTTTAAAGAAATACTATACTTAATGTTTTTTTTTAACCAGACTTTCGGGAGCTGATGCACAAGTGTCTGGAAATCCATATTCACACCTACAGCATTTGAAATACAGGAAGGCATTGTTCACTAATCTCCAGGTTCAGGGGCAATGCATCTTCTCAGTGAGAGAATACACGTTGTTGGTAACAAATTATCGACATCATCCCAAGACTTCAGAAGGGTTGTATTAGCTCATGATTTTATTGTTTCAACAGTTTTAGTGTTTTAGCAGAGTTATTTATTTGTTGGATATTATAAACCAGGTGACCCTTGCTTAAGAACTGCCAGAGGTAGACATCAATCTGATTGTGAATCATCAGAACTGATGAGTGTTACTGTTGTGTTAGGTCATCAAGATCTTAACTCAGTACTAACTTTGTGCTGAAAATACATCTTCAGAAAAAAGGTTAATGCTTTGTTACTTATGAATCATTCTTCTTTTCCCACCACCAAGCTTTTAAAACCTTGAGTTATGTTTTTAGCATAAAATATCTGCAGTTTAGAAATTAATTCTTCTGAGTGAACATTCCAATCTGAGGCTGGGTTGGGAGAACTCATTTTTTTATATCGATGTGTAATAAAAATGCCCATTTTTCCCCAGTAAAACTTCAGTTAACCAGCATGAACAGGGCTCAGCTTAAGGTGAGACACAGACATTAACTGACTTACACTGAGGCAAAATTAGTAATGGGAAATACTAATCAAAATTTCAGGTGTTAAATGATACGCAAGTGCTATTTCTAAACTAATTTTATTATTTCTGGATAAAAAAAATAACCTATTTTATATTTTGAAATATATTAAATAATTTTAAAAGTTGTATGTGATTTTCTTTAGTTGTCTGGAAGTTGAGTGCAGGGTAAGTTGGGTGTCTGTTTTTTAAGAAAGTGGATACATAATATAGTTCTAATCATGGATTATGAGCTTTGCTTCAGGAATAATTTGGGACAGAAAGTTAGTTTCTGAAAGATCTGTGTTTCATTTCCTCTTAAGGTGAATATTGTGTAGTCAGTGAGACAGAGGATTTCAGGTGAAAAAGAGACAGTAGGTAGTCTGAGGGAGTTAACTGATCCTAAGAGAATTTCATTCTAGTCATATCTCAAACAAAAAAGTTTCCTGAAGGGAGTTTCAAAACTTAATTTTTCTGTTTTAAAAATTCATAATTTTCACTGAAAGTCTCTCAGTTCCTTATTTGTAAGACACTTGTCTTGAGCCTTAAAACTTGTTTTGTGAGGATAGATGTGATTTGAATTTGGAAAGGCATTGAAGGTCAAATCTGGAAAGGGATTCGGATCAATATCCTAAAACTTGTAGGAGGTGAGCAGCTAAATATCTTAACAGAGATTGTCTTGAAGCAGTATAATAAAAAATCTGAGTATATGTTTAGTGCAGAGTTTTAATAATATAGAATTACTGCATGGTGTATAATAAGCTGAGGGGTAGGTTTCATTAGTTATCTGCTTGGTTAATATGTATTTTTGGAATAAACAGTTTAGTCACAAAATAGATAAAATTAGCGCAAGGGAATCAATGTAAAATGGAATGGGTTGTCCTAGCACATGTATTATCTAGCTGTTTTTGGTTGACTTTCTAACTGTAATCTTTTTTTAATGAGATTTTATATGCAATTTCAATGGATAATAATTATGACAGTGTAGGTATTCATAAAGCCCAGAGACTAAAAAGAATACGGTGTCATGTAACCCTTTTTTTAGGTCATGATGAATCTTCTTTGTTACACTTTTACTAGCACTTTTTTTTTTCTATCTACTACAAGTAAATCAAGAAACATGTCACATGTATGTGTAAATATCACTGGCTGTTATTCAAATGGTTGAAATTGCTTTTTACTGTTCTTCTGTTTTAATAAAGCACTCTTTTTAGTACTGAGCACATTTCTTTTGCAGTCTTCATATTTTTTTTCCCATTTCAGCTGTCATTTAGATGTTGATATGTAAAGCAAAATGGCAAAAATCAACACCCAGCACTCCTACCCTGGTATGCACAGACTGTCTGTCAGAACGACTGATGAAGATATTGAAAGGATTGAAAATGGCTATATCAGGTAATACATTCCTTTCATCAGAGTCAAGAGGACAGATTGCTGCATAATTTGTGGAACTCCTCTAGCACGAGGAATAGGAGCTGGAGTTATGGGAACGTTGTGTCATCTTGTTGACCCTGTGCACTGAACTGACTTAGCAATGCATATCCAAAGTACTGAAGAGACAGATGCAGGGAGGTTGCCATGGCTTGCAGTTTTGGAACCAGAAGCTGTACTACCTCAGGAATAAAGCCCATTTTCACCTCACTTGAAGTTATACTAACTCATTAAGGAGAAACATCTTTCTGAAGTCACCACACAGATAGCAGGGTGTGTGCTCCCAACAGAGTATTTGGAATTTGGTGAAAAAAAAAAAAAGATCCTTTCAGCACCAGTGAAAAGCCTTGGGAAGTTTTTTTAAATGTAGCCTCTGCAAATTGCCTAGTTCATATGATAGGGAACGTATGTGATGTATAAAGAATATCAACATTTTTGTATTGGATTTTCAGAGACCATCACTGTACAGAGGAAATGTAATAGTTCCTTTACATTTGCCTTCCTGTTTTAATAGTTTTAAAGCGGCTGTTTAAACTGTGCCAGTGAGCTTGCACTTACATTTTGCACAGTACCAGTCATTTCTCTAAACTGGGCAAACTCTGCTGGGCATGCAGGAAGGTGTCTGATGATCCACAGCATTTGTACAGGCTGGAAAAAATGTTCTGCTTTTGTCTTGTTACAGTCAACCACCTCATCTATGTGGACCTTGTCAGAGTGTTTCTTGCTGTTCAAACGTATACCCAGACTGGAGCACTCAAACTCCTGCTGGGCTGATAGGACTGCCTGCTTTATGAGGATTTTTGAATTGCATGCCCCTAGTGTCTAGTATGGATGTGATTCCTGCCCTATTTGAATTGGTTCTTTTTTCCTTTTTGCTTTGCTTACATGATACCTTTTGTCATGTGAGTGTACCTATACTAGGGAAAATGGAGCTGCTTCTATTCTGCACAGTATGTCTTGCTTGACTTATTTAGATTTGGAAGAGCCATGTCCCTTTGTCTCTGTTTACAGTGATATCTCAGAAACAGGGAAAACACAGAAATAAGCATCTTCCTTTCCTTTTTTTTATGTCCTAGTGATTGGCAGCTCACAAATGGAATTACTGATGGGAATGTGAGAGTGGGGTCATAAAGGTTTAACTGTAGGATTGAATCTCTTTGGTCATCTGCAATTTCAGAGGCAATGTCTTGCTTTTGACAGATAAGGGGACTGAAATATGTTTCTTCTTTGCCATTGTCTTCCTTCAGCTCCTGTTGGCTATAGTTCAGCAAAGCAATTAAACACATTACTTAGTTCTCACTAAAGTTAGTGGGTGTTATATTTATGCCTAATGCTAAGGATATGCTTAAACCCTTTTCTGCTATGAAATGAGGCATTATCAAGAAAAAGAATTCACTGCAATAGTTAACAGAGAGCTGCTCCTGATCTTTAAGCTGTCATTCTCATATATGCGGGAGTAAGTGATTCTTGTGCCCATATTTTTAGTTCTGTAGCATGTTATGAAGTTGGTTCATTTTGTTAAAATAATAAGTTGACAAAACAAAAAATAACAAATGAATCTCCATTTTAAAAATCCAGCCTCTGCAAACAGCTCAAATAGGAGAGGCAGCACAATAGTCTATAGACACAGACTGCCTGTCTAAAAGTTGGGGTTCAGCTGGGCCCTGTAGACATCTGGATTTCGGTGCCTTTGTGTGAGAAGGTGTCTATGTTCCTGCTGTCATGAGTGGAGATGTAGTCAGTACTCACAGTCAGCAGCACCTGGGAAACTGTTCAGCTTACCCTGGAGCTGAATAACTCTTCAGGCTCATTTGGCTCTGTTGATTATGAGAGAGGTATTTAGTTGACTAAAATAGGCATCTAATGCTATTTGAGATACCATAGGGTATTTGAAGCATTCAGGTGGTGCTAGTGGATGTGAGGAGAGACCTGTGTGCTCTGGAGAGGTCTGATAAAGTATTTTGAAGTATTCCAAATGGTACTAGACTCCTATATTGAGGCAGCTGAATCAAGCCGAAGATAGCCACTGACTATAATGAGAACTTAGATACTTATTAGGCACTGCCCAGCAGCAGTATTAGAATTTATTGCTAAGATCACACAAAATGTATATTTGTCTGTAAACAGGAATGGAAGTACTTAAAAATAGCCATGGTAGTGCAGTCTCAAAGATGGACTAGTCCAGCATCCTTTTGCCAACAGGTCTGTAGGCCAGTGCTCTAGGAAATAGTAAAAAAGGTGGGCAAACTCTACTACATCCAACTCAAGAGACTTCTTGAGATGAATGCAGGCTCTGTGTATCTGGTAATCCATAATGAATTTCTATTCCATGAATTCATTGATTTTCCCCTAGAAGCCATGTTAACTTTGGCAGCCACAATACTCTCAGCACTGACAACATGAACTAGGCTATAAAAGTATTTCAGTTCTAGGCAGTGTCTGTTGGTGTTTTGTAATTAGAAGAGAAGTAGAAAACAGTTAACAAGTTGAGAATCCTGGGACTTTCAGGATCTATTTTAGTATTCTTTGTGTAGAAATAATAAAATTTTAATTCTATGTTTGTCAGTTTCTCAACTGTAAGTGCACCCCACAAAACTGAGCTGCTAATTATCTTTTTGTGGGCATTGAAAGTGCTGTTGCCAGTTCTTTTGAAGATACTGCAACTATCATTATTGTCAATATTTTCCTGGCAATACAGATGAACAGACTCGTGAGAGTTCATGTCTGCATTACAAAGGGGAAAAAACCCCATCCTTAGTGGTTGTGATAAAGTCTTGTAAAAGTGAATACAAAAGACTGGAAGACATAGAGAAAATTCAGAGTGAACCCTCATAAAGTCCGGAATTTCAAAACTCCATTACTGAAAGATGAGGCTAAATTTTCATCTCTTTTTCTCAAATGCTATTTTTTCAAGTGCTCATGAATAGTCTCTAGCTTCTGAGCTTGCTGGAACGTATGACAGAGCCTCCCCTGACTTTAATTCACATTGGATGGCTCCAGGAAAGTTGGAACATAGGGTTATCAAACATATGCTGTGTTACTAAGAAGACAATTTGCTGCCCTGTTTCCTGATGTAGTAGGTAGAAAGAACTGGTTAGGGGTAAGTCTGATGAGTGCTATATGGAATTCTTAAAAAAAAAATTGCCTTTGCAGAACCCATTCACTGTGTGAGGATGCGTCTTCAGAACTGCAGGGAGTCATTTCTGTGGAGGGAAGACATGTATCTGAATCCCAGACGAGCTCATTCACAGGCAGGGGAGCAATGGCAAGGTAACATGCTGACTAGTAGAACTTCCAGCATTAAATTTAATTTGTTGAAAGAGACCACTCACAATTTGGAGTCAAAGAAAGAAGAGCCATCACTTTCCAAAGAAAATGGATGAAGAAAGTCTATTAAGAAGTAACAGAGGTTGCTTTTGACCTTGATTCTCAACTCTTCACTTATTGCTAGTAAAAATCTTAGAATCTGAGAGATGCTGAATAAGCCCACACAAAGTTGTCAAATATAAAAAAATAAATTATTTTTACATAATCAGATCTGAAAATATGTTGAATGCTGTGGAAATGCATGAAGTGAGGCCAAACTGTGAAGTAAATGGGTAAGTGTTTGATTCTGGCTGATAGCAGGTGCAATGTTACTGTGCTATCAAATAAAACATAACGATGGTTCCCTTTTGGTAGATGGCTCTGGCAAGGGAGGAGACAGGGGATCTTGTGTTGAGAGTGCAAGAGTTTCTCTCAGTTTTTAGAATCCAATTATGTTTATAATGGATTTGGAACCTTAGTCAGAAAAATTGAAGTCAACCATTGGCTTAAACTGTTCACATTACCAGGACTTAAACATAAACCTAAAGTGGAGCTTCAAAAACTTATTGTGTCTGCTTTAAATGTTTTTGTCTGAGACTGCAGAGCTCTGCCTTTGGATACCATTATTACACACAATACAGACCATGCTCAGTTTAAGCATAGTGTATTCCAAAGAGCAAAGAAAAAAATTTTTACAAAGCTAAGGTCATTTAAAGAGTGTTGTTTACACTTAAGCCTTTTGAATGGGGAAAATAAACTTCTCTGGTTGTCAGATAGTGACACCACCACGTGTAGATTGAAAAGTGTGCAAAAAGTTGACTTTAGATGAAAAATGTTTATAGGTGTGCATTTTGTGTAAACATAAAGCACATGAATATTTAAATTCATACTGAGAACTTCCTTTTTAGTCTTTATATTGTTTACCCTTTTTCAGAATAGTTTGAATTACGTGTGTCTGGCTAGCGTTAGGTATGCTCTGAATATACAAGGTAGTTTCTGATGAAAACATAAATGCTAATAAGCAATTTAAATGTTATGGTATCATAACGTGACTCCTGACTGCAAATTCTCAAGGACCTAAAACAAGTGCCTCTGATGGACTTCACTGAGTATCTCACATTGAGATGGAAAGGCCCTCATTGACAAGAATATGGTATTGCTCCTGCAATGCTGATACTGTGGACTAGGAACTAATGTGTCAGATATTTTTGTGATCCACTGCAAAAGATAATCTATGAAATTGAGGGAAGTGACTGGGTTTACAGTTGATCCATCAAGTTTAATTTCATGGCAGGTGGAGAAGTGGAGAAAAATCCTCCTGGGCTGCTGTTTGTGAGAATGTTTTAAGGCATCTTATGTTCTTGTGTGGTTCAGTCAATTTTGTGTGTCTGTTCCATGCAGGCTGTCACGATTTGTCTTATCCGTAAGGTCATGGGCCACAAGACATTCCCATCATGAAGACCAAAGGCCTGATTCTTTCCTGGAGCGTATCAGAGGGCCGGAGCTCGTAGAGGTGTCCAGTAGGCAAAGTAACATCCGCTCCTTTCTGGGTAGCCGTGAGCGGCCTGGGGCAGTAAACAGGTAAGATGTGTTTATACTTTAAATGAAGATGACTGAGGTTATGGTATTTTCTTGGTAATTAGGATCTAAGTTTTATTTTAAGAAGAGGGTAAGGAGCTTAGCATGGGAAATGCTGCCTGGGAATCTTCATATAACTGAAGTATTACAGCTTTCAGCAGACTTTCTCTTTCCCCCTCAAATGCACTGTGGCAGAGATCTTGAAGTAAAGGATTCCGGTCATACTGCTTCAGGCAGAATGATTTCTCAGAACTGGAATTTTATCATAGGCAAGCTGTGCAACTTGATGTTGCTAAACTCATCTCTACTGAGGATGAATGTGATTTTTATTTCAAGAATCCAGAATATTGCTAGCTATGGCTTTTCAGGACATTAATATTAATGCACATTATCTGCAAGTATTAGGAAACTTCAAACAAGCAGTTGTGTTGTTATACCTACTCAGGAATTCATCTGCTAACGTTACAGAAGGCTTCTGATGCAGAAATGACAAAATCTTTTGGCTGCTGACTTAACTTATTACTACATACTCATTCTTTGGTATGAAAGACAGGTTCAGTGTTATCTTAATTTTTTTTTTCCAATAGAGCAACAGAGGCTTGCAAGAGAAAACTTTATATTTTTTGACTTGCTGGATTATTATTGCTTTATAGACATATGATACAGTGTTTTAAGTTTAACTCCAGGTAGAAGAGGCAAAAATGAAGTCCCAAAACAAAAGCTGACTTTCTGTTTATTATGCTTTGAAGCAGAGACTCCCATTTCTTAAATTTGTTTTTTTCTGCATAGTTAAAGATTGGTAGGTAAGCAAGTAATGAGACAGTTTCAAAATCTCAGCTAGTCATTCAGATTAAAGCAAAAGTCTTTGAAAGGCTGTGCATGGTACAGGTTACCTTGATTTATTGTGGTCCAGCACAGCCTTATTATCTTCACTTGATCTACTCCTTGGAAATTCAGCTCAAAAGCACATATTGAATTGAATTAGCCAGACTATTGTCTCATTTCTCAGGTGCCTGGATCGGTAGCAATTGATCAGCAGCAACTTCAGATTTGAAGTAATTAGAGAGGACAGCATTGATCCCGGGCCAACAGACCTCTACAGGAGGCTATTCAAAGTGAATTTGAGAGTATTCATCCTTGCCTTCTCAGTTTTACATTGTTGCTGCTTGACAGTAACTCCCAGTTGTTATATCCTGAAGGCTTAATTCTGCAGCAGTGGTAGGTATGCTCATTACTTATCCACAAGCCTTGACGCTGCATTCGTGAAGATGAGTTGAAAGGACTGAAGAAAGCTTAAAATAGCAGCCCCATGAGTAAAAGGCTAAAAATAGTGAGGTGCATATTGCCATGCACTGATACACCTAAGAACAAGCTTCAGGCATCAAATGTGGTCACAAATGGGTATGTGAAGCTCATGGTAAAGAGAAACTGGTGCCTTGAAGCAGTTATGCAAAGAGGCTTATCACAGCAGTCAAAGTTGACCTTCCTAATCTTATCAGTGCATATGTGAGGTGCTAGTAAATTAGTCTGTCATGTCTGTGAACACGTGCATGAAATACCAACAGTCTTTACACTCTTTAATGTGTTTTATTTAACTTGCTTTCAGTCACTGGCCTTTGGCCAGATTTAATGTCAACTATAGCAACAACACCAATGAAGAGTAAGTACTGATAACTTCTAAACATCTTTCTATACTACTGGCACCTTGTCTTTTTCCCTTTCCAGCCTAGTAACATTTGTAGTTACTGTAGTTACTCCTTAGCTCTCACTAAGCCTTTCCTAGGAATATAGAGAAAGGTCTAGTTTTCTTAGTATGAAAAACATTCTTCGTGCTCCCTGTGAACTTCTTTTTGTCTGAAGTTACCATTTCTTCTCAAGGACTGAATTTGATCAAGAATTCAGTCGCTACCTCCTGTTGTTCAGCTGGCTGATTTTACTGCATCACCAATTGATTTACTAATTCTTCAGTTTTTAAATGAGATTCATGTATTAATTTTCTAATAGTGATTTTCCTCTTTTAACATACTGGTCCGTTTTTGCAAATCAAGTGCCCCAAAAATTTCAGATTGTCAAATGAGAAGTGGATACTGGCCAAGGTACCAAGAAAACACTTCTGCGTGCATCCTTTTAAAGTGTGTTTCAGTTCAGCAGATATTGTTGTTTTAGAGAGAGTGAAAGGCACCATATTAGGCCTGGTATTGTAACAGAAGCTGTCCTTTTGTTTTGTCTGTTTTATATAATTGACAAGCTATTTCACAGTGTTACACCAAAGAGAAATTTATTGAACAGTGTGACCAGCTCCTGTAATTTAAAATCACCCAACACCAATGTTTGTTTCTTGCTCAGCTGTTGGAGGACATATCTGCTCTTTAGTATCCAGCAGCAGATCTGTTCTCACGCATGATGATAGTAAATTTTTTTCATTGTTTTCCAAATGAAAGCAAAAAAAAAAATTAATCAAGACAGCTTCTAATTGTGTCAGAAATACTTTTAGAAAACTCTTGGGGTTTATTTTCTCGAAATAATTTTGTCATGGGCAAGTTCAAACTGTACATTTTAAATGATGCTGCAAAACCTTTGTGCACATATGTGGACAAGAAGTTTTCCTCCTCCTAGAGCAACTTTTTGGTTTTGTTTGCATAACTTTTATTAAAAAGGAAAATCTGTGTGCAGTGAATAGTGAGAGAAATGTGTAGATTTTTATTCAGACTGGTATAAAAGAAGTGCTATAAGCCTGCAGCTTAGCCTTCTAGATGGGACCCAAAGGATTGATTAGGATGGAAATACTTCTGTCTTTCTCTGTTTCTGACAATGACTCATGTACCTTGGGCAAGACTTTCATCCTTCCAATTTTTCGTCATTTTTAAATAAATACAATACCTGTCTGTCTACCTGCCCAACAGTCTGAAATATACTTGATTTTCAAAGTACTTGACCCATGAGAAATGCAAATATTTGACTAATTCAAAGACTGTGACAGCGTTTTTATGAGGCTGACGAAGATGTTTTCCAAGTCTAAAACTGCGGAAACACAGAATGGGTGCTGCTCTGTTGGGGTCAAAAATGGCAGACACAAACAACTGTTTCATTAGTTACTGCGTTCCAGTTTCCTCAGTGGCACTGATAAAGAAAAATGAATGTCTTTTTTAAGCTTTAGGTTTTTTATTATGTTAAAGACCTAAGTGTGCCAGGTCTTGAGGAACTGTTGGTGATGCTTTCAAGTCTTTGATTATGACCAGTCTTTTCGTCCAAGTGACTTCCATGGGCAGACTGCAAATAGGTGGGAGTGTAGTAAGGTGGGAGGTATGACAATAGAAAGATGCACAGAGGCCACATAAATGGAAGAAACTCAATTATGAAAGATACCTGTAGAGGACAGATGAGTTTGTAGAAGATCTCAGGCCAGAGAAAAATAATTATTGGCATGAGATGCTGTGTAAAATAATGTTTTTTCACTTTTTAAAAATAAACCATAAACATAGGAGGGAGCTGGCATGGTCAAAATATTCCCTCCAAAGTTCACCACCACCAAGACTTTTTGATTGATTCTCTATCTCAACCTACTTTTCCCTGCATAACAAGATCCACAAATGTATAGCCCTACCCTTTGCAAATTCTGTTTACTTATAACTTTTGGTAAGAATGACAGACATTTGAAATCTTGAGGAGCTACATTGATGTTGATAACAGCAACTGTGAATTGCCTTTAAGATCAGACACTGCAGTGAAATCCTGACATGTTTTTTAAACAGGAAGGAGTTTTGGGGCCAGATTTGAAAATGAAGCCATAAAGTCCAGGGCAGTCAGTAAGCAGAGAAATAGATACTTGAGCAGCAGTTCCCACTGCTGTGTAAGAAGCAGCCTTGGTAAATGAAAAGCTGATTCTTTGATTTGAGATGCATGCATAAATAGAAGATCAGTCAAGCTAAAGGTTCTTTTTTCCTCCAGTCGTACTCCCTTGCGGTGTATAATTTTGAAAGTTTCAGTGGTGTTGGTCAGCTTGGTAGATATTTCCCTGGATGTGGCAAAGTGTAGGATCTCAGCATTTTTTACCAAATGAGCCTGGGCTTTCCAAATTACACTGTGTTGCTCCATCACTTATGGAAATGTCTAAGGGTAAGAATTAGAACAGGTGCTCATTGCTAACAGGTGAAAGCTGCTACTATCTTAAAATTGGTGCCTGCTGTCTTCTCCTTTGGAGTGCTTCTTTCTCCCTGTAACAAGCACATTCCTAGACATGACTGCCATTCACAGACTAGACCTTTCTGATCTGAGCAGTATGAGCAGGTATGCGTGAAAAGCACAAGTCCTGTTTTTCACCTGTTATTCCATACTCTGCCTTTGCTGTGGGATGTGGCTGTCATTGAACTAATGTATCCTTTCTTGACACCAGTGCAAAGGGAGACTCAGACCCAGTCTCGGCAATTCAGAGAACATGAAGCTCCCATGGGAGCTAGAGTCCCTGGCTTTCATCCAAACCAGACATTATCTGTGGGGAGTTATGTTTAAATATGCATTATCCACATATACTGTAGTGTTAGGAACAGTTTTAGGCTTTTCTGTCTAATGGGGACACTTTCTTCTTCAAGGACTAGACAAATTTCAAGTAAAAAGAAGGAGATCTCAGGCAATGCATTACATGATTCTTGACCAAGGCATGTAAAAAAATTAGCTTTAAGATTATGTATTGGCAGAATCTTAAGAGAGATGTTAACTTTCTGCAGTTTTGAAAAGGATTTGTGGACCTATCTGCTATAAGTTAACATAGATCTGGCTTGCCCCATTCTTAGGTTTGTCTGAACAGAAGAGTCTTGAACTATCTTTATATCTGGCTTATCACATTCTAATGAGCCTGAACAGTATGAAAATCCATGTTCGGAGTTAAATTTTGAAGCCTGAGTCAGTGCTGGATACTTTGGAATGTTAGAATATATCGTGTTAAATGGTCCCTATTTTACTTTATTGAATGGAAAATGATTAATTAACTTGGAGACTATCATGATTCCATCAAGTCTAGGCAAAATTCCCATTGATTTTAGGAAAGGTTGGAACTTCATGCTTAATGCTCAGCCTTTGAATACTGTGGCAATGGAAAATGGGCAGAGCAATTTGAGCATAGCTCCTCTGACCAACCACAGACACTTGCATCTGAGCCGGGCAACCCGTTCTTCTATTATAGCTGATGGAAAGCAAAGAAATCCTTTTGGAGCACAAGTCATCTTGTGGACTCATGGACTATGCCACATGGAATATCTCATAGATATAGTAGATCTCTATCTCTTACATGCAACTAAAATAGGATGGCTTAATCATGTTGACTATAAAGCATTTATAAAATGACTACTGTATAGTTAAGTGAGACACACTTCTTTTCTCTACATTTGCTGATTTTGTTCAGGTATTGTCTGGAACTCTTCTAGGCAATTGTTAAAACCAGAGGTAATTAATTAATTAATTATAGCTTTGCTGATTTCAAAGAACCATGAGAGGAAATTGAGTGTCATTTTGTTTAATTACTATTAAAGCTTCAGACAGTCACAGTGAGGTTTTAGCTATGCAAAGAATGTTGACAGTTTGTTAAGCCATTTCAAGTTTTGTCATCATTTGATAGATTTCTTTTTAAATGCCTGGGTTCTAAAGAATGAAACAAATTGAGAGTGTTTACTTAAAATCATCCTGGTACACTGATGTCTGAAAAGGTCGTGAAAGTGTGGGTGACTAATGCAGAGAATCAGCCAGCTGGTTACCTGATGTGAGAGTGTGGTGCTGCCAGGGTGAGAGGTCTCAGCTGGATCCCCGTCCTACTCTGTCTGGAGAGTAGTCTAGTTTCCTCTACCTCAACATCCACCCTCTCCCTAAACTGCTTCAATATTGGTAATATTGCTAAGCTTTGCATTATGTTGTACAGCAAAAAGGAAGAAAAGAAAGAGGTTAAAGAGGAGAAAAAAGAGGAGAAAAAAGAGGAAAAGAAAGAGGAAAAGAAAGAGGAAAAGAAAGATGACAAAAAAGATGACAAAAAAGATGATAAAAAAAAGGAAGAGTAAGTATAAAGAACAAATATGTGCTTGTAACATACCTCCCTGCACTACAAAACATGGTATGGCATTTCATCATAACACTTTCACTGTTACTGTTCTGTGGACTGCAGAACCTTAGCCTGTCAAGTCTTTAATACATTTTCCACTTTGGAAAGGTTTCAACTGCTTGGCAAAGTTGTTACGTCTTGAAGATCTGTGTTTAGACCTGTGTCATGATCAGCTTCCTATGTCAATAAAAGGGAATTGAGCTGCCTTTGGTCACTTTGATTTGAAGATCACTTTTTTACTATAAGGACATCTTAGGACAGCAGCCTGCTTTGCAGAGCTGCACAGACTTTTCATTGTTCCAAAATGACTCAGAGTCCATAATGACTCAGAGCAGATGAACCAAAACTCTGGTTCATCTTACCAAGAATCTTACATGTAGAAAATTAAAGATTTGCTAGTAAGCTTAGTTATTTCACTGACTAGTATATTTAATTACTTAATGTGGTGCAGTTGATGGCTAGTGATCACTGAAGTTTGCTTCTGTTTGTTAGGGGATGACGTATTTCTGCAACAAAATGAGATCATTTGAATGCTTTGCTCTTGCTTTGTCGCCCTAAAGCTGACACAAACATAGTACAATTTAGTATTAGCAGTTATTAAAAGCAACAATGGAAGCAGATGAAAAAAGAGAATGCATTTGGTTGGACTTCACAGTTAAGGAGTATGTTACAGTAATATACTGTGAATTTATATGTATGTGTGTATATAGTGGCATATGCTATGTAGTCATGGGGACATGTAGTTAGGAATCATTTCCAAAAGGAATCTGCTTGATCTCAAGACCTTTTTCAGTGGGGGGCTTATACATAAAGGCTATGGGTTTCAGCCTGGATGATGTGAATGTCCGGGTTTTTCTTCCCACTCTTACTTACTTTTTCTGAAGTCGGGTCAAACAAAGAAATATTGCTTGTCAGATGGGATGCAGCTAATGCTTGGTATCCAATCTGGGCTGCCTGCATGGATAGTTTGTCTTCTCAGGCAGCTGTGAGTTCCTCACAAGATGAGCAGCCTCCAGAAGAGGGAGATCCAGCAGGTTGCTTGTTTACATTTCCAGTGTAAACCTGCATGTTTTCCTTTCCAGGCCAAAAAAAGAAGTCTTTGTGATAGATCCTTCAAGCAATCTGTACTACAACTGGCTGACCATAATTGCTGCACCCGTGTTCTATAACTGGTGTATGCTAGTGTGCAGGTATGGATTTCAGTTAATCATAATTCTATGTTTCAATCATTATGTTTCCCATGTAAATCACCCCCTTACCTCCCTGCAGTATCTTTCGGGTGGCTTACTTAGAAGATTTACCATTCATATACCCTTAGGGATATACGGTATGTCTACCACTGGGAATAGATGGCCAGTGTTTCTTTTTTTATCTTTTACTCTAAAAACAGGTGGTTGTAACTTGCAATAAGTGTCCTTGTGAGCACTGATGTGGCCTTTGTGTGCCACCTGCTGGCTGGCGGCTGAGGTGTGTTCTGGCCACTGCCAGGGATGAGGGCTTCTCATCTCACAGGAGAGAACAGAAGGGAGCGGTGGGGGCAGTGGTGGGGTGTCTTAAATTAATATAATGCATCTCTAGAGATGAGGACGGCTTGCAACTGAGAAACAAACCTTGTATTTGGGCACTGTCCTAATGGAGATGTGTAGCCCACGAAACCCGATGCATTTTTAATGGGATATGTTTAGGGATATGTTTAATCCTCCATAAGTGCACTTGTGTGGCATGTATGTGTTTGAGTTTTGTTCCTGGCCTGAACACCTTTGAATTCTGAAAGATCTTAATATCTGTTCAGACATGGCTCTAGCCATTTAGATATGGTTCCTGTAATATTTCAGTTCTAACAATGTGTGCTAACATGCTGCTAGGACACATACTGCAAATACTCTGTGCAGTCGGTGTATTTTTTTTTTTATCTTTGTTTCTTTAGAGCCTGCTTTGATGAGCTACAAATGGACCATGTTAAATTATGGCTGTTCCTGGATTATTGCTCTGATATCATCTATTTTTTTGACATGTTTGTCAGATTCAGAACAGGTGAGTCTTTCTGGGATTTTGGGTGTTTTCAAATACTACATGTATATAAAGGCTGGAAACAGAAATTTCCCTGTAAGGTCTGACCAGTGTAATATCCTGTCTCTGGCAGACCCCAACAGTGGAGGCTTTGGAAAGATGAAGTGGCTGAGCAGTTTGGATTTTTTTTAAGGCTGAACATTCCAGCACTTGTTCTTCATTTGTCTCTAAATTCGGTTCTATCACTGCTGAATAGGCATGCCAGAAGCTGACTGAATAGCCACTGTAAGAGGCTGTGTGGGGAAGGGGCAATAGGGCATTTTGGGCAAGAAATGAACTGTACCACACAAGTGCTGTTTTCTTAACCAAGTTGTGCAGCATCCTGGTCAGAAGCGTCAGCTGAATTGCTCAAGCGCAAGAGCCTGGCACCAATGTCAGCCTTCAGTCTGTGATCTTCTGCCTGGAACCAGCAGTGCCTCCTGCTGTATTTTCTGCAGCCTCTGTGAGGTCCTGGCCAGATCTGCCACTGCCTGGTGTTAGGTTAGGGTTAACCGTGGCCCCTTTGTTTAGGTCTTTCCTTCCTGGAGGAAGTGCGAACTTAAAGGATCTATGAGGACTGTGCCATGTCATGCTAAGTGGTTCTCTTCAGCTTCCCATTCGTGGTTCTGTAATCCTGGCAGGCTGAGAAGAGTTCCTATTTGAGCATGCCCAGCTGATACAGATTCTAACCTTATAGGGATATCTGGTTTTAGCTAAATGAGGTCATAATATAGGCCTAAGCAAGGACATACAGTGATCCATAACATTAAATTGCTGTAGTACTCCTTGATACACTTTGATGCTTGCACTTTGGTCCACTCAGGCAGTGCCTGGGCATGCTAGGAGGACAGCAGGGGGTGGGTGTTGTTCATGGTGTTGTTGTTGGAGCTGCCTGAAAGAACTTACATGTGAATACAAGCTGTCATGGTAGCTGGTCTCAGAGCCAGAAAGCGTTTCCTGTCTTGTTCTATTGACTGGTACAGACAAAGCCTCAAAATGCCTTGAAAGGGTCCAAACCCACACTGATCATTAAAACGAGAGTCCTTTTAAATCTTTCATTTTAACATGTTATCTATTTATATACATTTATTTGTTTATTTATTTATTTAAAACTGTGCTGACAGCTTGACAATAATTATGGCTTGTGAAAAGTTATAAACATAATTACAAGACAGGGGCTAAAAATGCTGTCATGGGGGAAGCACACAACTCATGGCAAGCCAAATTCTTAAACTTAGCAAGTACCTTGTTCAAAAGAAAAGCAAATTTCAGATACCAGCCTAAATCACAAGACTGCTGTATTTGGGGCAGGGGGAGGAGGGCTTCATCTTCTTTGTGTACTTAGAATACCAACTGTGCCAACTAAATTTACCTTCTGCAGTTATATCTGTTATTGTAATGGGAAAGAATCGAGCAGAAATTGGGCATCTCCAGGCAATACAAGTTATAAATTTCCATGGGCTGCCCTGATAATTATATGTCTTAAAGCGTGGTTAGGTTGAATTTGCGGGTGTGGAATGGAACCGCAGAATCACAGCAGTGATCTCCTGAACACCTCAGTGCAGGTGTCTGCTGCAGTTTCGTGCACTCCAATAAAGAATTCACTTCTTTTAGGTGCCAAAATCTTTCTCATAACAACCCCTCCTGGCTCTGCCTTTGCCTGCTGCCTTTTTCTCTAAGTCTGCAGGGTCCATCTGCCCTGGGGACAGAGGTCCTGGAAGCCTTTGGGGAAGAGTCTGACTTCCTGCTGTCTGAGGGCAGGGCCTGGCTTTGAACTGGGATCTAGGTAGCCCCATGAGTACTCTAATCCACGTCAGCTTCTCTGTGGGGCATTTCTGTCTAACTGCAGGGCCAGTTTCACTGTGTTTCACCTATTTGGTGACTGCACTGTGAAACAGAAAAGATTCATGTCTCAGCAGCTGGTTGTGTTTAGCATACTCTATGTTTTGATGTTTTCAAAAGGTTTTACTGTAAGACTTCAGTTCCATGAGGGGACAAAGAGAGCTGAGGGGGTTTATCTCCCTTCAGGAGGAAGGCATTTTCAAAGTTATTTTTCATAACTTTGAGTTAGAAATTCATCTGCCTGGCCAACTTTTCTGTTTAGTTGCATAACTGTTAGTAAGGGCATATCTGACCAGCTTTTTCAGCAGTTTTCTGGGATGTAACACATTAATGGCACAGGAAATACTTCCATTTGTAGGCACCATCAGTTTGCAGATATCCAAAGCCAGATACACACATGAGGCATCTCTACAGATCTACTATACATTCCAGAAATATAGCTGTGCTGTGTAGAGCACAAAAAAATGAAGCTTGGTCTTCCTCAGCAGATTCTTCCCTGAAAAAGCTGTAGGTTGCTTGTAGATTGCTAAGGGATTAGTAAAATGTGAAAATCCCTCACATAGGGGGAATGTTTTGTTTTTTTCTCAGTGGACTTTTCCTCCTGAGTGGCCCAGTGGGCAGACAGTTGGATATCTCCACTAGCAATTGCAGCAAGTATTTTGCAGTGCATAGGCTGTTCCTTGTGGAAAATTTTCAATGCCTTGAGCTTTCAGAGTTACCAAAGAGCACTGTGGCTGTACTGTCTGCAGTAAAGGTCTCTAACTAAGTTTATATCTCCTTGTCATCTTTTTAAATCTAATATTTTCAAAATCATTTGAATGAATATCAATGTGCAAAATTCTAGCTCTCTCACTGGAAACACTAAAAAGTGCAAACCAAGGAAAATCCCGTCAGTTTTACATTGGATACAAGAGGAAAACATGGCTCAGGGAGCGGGTCACTGGGTATCTATATTGTTTGGAAAAAAGTTTCCAACGATCCATTATACCTACTCATTCTTGGTATTTATTTAAAAATATTTCTCTCTGATTTTATACACAATTGCTTAACACTTGCTTAACTTTATTTATGACTCATGCCAATGATTCATAAAAAATGAGACATTTGAATCTCCCATCTCCTTTTGCAAAGATATTTAGAGGAAAAAAATACAGCTGTCCCAGAATAGAGTAGAAAACTTCAGAGAGAACTGTGGTAATAATAGAGCCATTATCCTTAATCATTATATATCAGCTTTGAAACTTGATTGAAATATTTAAATTTTTAGTTAAATGACCTCATAATATATGAATGTCTGTATATGTAACAGTAAAAATTTTAATGTTCTCAGCTATCTGAAATGTAAGTCACTCAGTACTGTTGATGGTATTTTTATTCTAACAAGCAAAATCTGTATTTTTGTTCTTTGAAGGCTTCCTTGAACAAGGCTTGCTAGTTAAGGATGAAAAGAAATTACGAGAACATTATACCAAAACGTTGCAGTTCAAACTGGATGTGCTGTCTCTTCTGCCAACAGACCTGGCTTATTTGAAGCTTGGTCTGAACTACCCCGAACTACGGTTTAACCGCTTGCTGAGGATTGCTCGACTGTTTGAGTTTTTTGACCGTACTGAGACCAGGACAAATTATCCAAACATGTTTCGTATTGGAAATCTCGTGTTATACATCCTTATCATCATCCACTGGAATGCGTGTATATACTTTGCGATTTCGAAGGTCATTGGATTTGGAACCGACACTTGGGTCTATCCCAACATTTCCATTCCAGAGTACGCGCGCCTGTCTAGGAAGTACATTTACAGTCTGTACTGGTCGACGCTCACGCTGACGACCATTGGAGAAACACCTCCCCCAGTGAAAGACGAAGAGTATCTCTTTGTGGTCATTGACTTCCTGGTGGGTGTGCTGATCTTTGCTACCATTGTTGGTAACGTCGGCTCCATGATTTCTAACATGAATGCTTCCAGGGCAGAGTTCCAGGCCAAAGTGGATTCTATTAAACAGTACATGCAATTCCGAAAAGTGACTAAGGATTTGGAAGCCAGGGTTATTAAATGGTTTGATTACCTCTGGACCAACAAGAAAACAGTGGATGAGAAGGAAGTTCTCAAAAATCTGCCTGACAAGCTGAAGGCTGAAATTGCCATCAATGTCCATTTGGACACGCTAAAGAAAGTGCGTATATTCCAAGATTGTGAAGCTGGACTTCTCATTGAGCTGGTACTGAAACTGAAACCTACCGTCTTCAGTCCTGGGGACTACATTTGTAAAAAAGGAGATATTGGAAGAGAAATGTACATTATTAAAGAGGGGAAATTGGCTGTGGTGGCAGATGATGGCATAACCCAATTTGTAGTCCTAAGCGATGGCAGCTACTTTGGTGAAATCAGCATCTTAAACATCAAAGGTAGCAAATCTGGCAATAGGAGGACAGCCAACATTAGGAGTATTGGTTATTCTGATTTGTTCTGCTTGTCTAAAGATGATTTAATGGAAGCCCTCACAGAGTATCCAGAAGCCAAAAAGGCTCTGGAAGAGAAAGGGCGTCAAATTCTGATGAAAGACAATTTAATAGATGAGGAGGCAGCAAAAGCAGGAGCTGACCCAAAAGACTTGGAAGAAAAAGTAGGAAGACTTGAAACAGCTCTGGATACGCTGCAGACTAGGTTTGCGAGGCTCATGGCAGAATACACCGCATCTCAACAAAAGGTGAAGCAGAGACTTTCCAAAGTAGAAACCCGAGTGAAAAAATATGGTAGTGGCAGCTTATCAGTTGCAGAAGCAGAGGCTGAAAAACCTGAGGAGAAAAAGCAGTAATGGAGCATTTATATTTCCTCATTTATTCGAGAAAGTTGAAGCACTGAAAGCCATAAATGTATGTAAATATGTGTGTGCATACATAGACATGATTATTTTTATATGAACTCAAGAGAATGGTTTTTAGCACTTTTAACTGAAGCAGTATTTCTTTGCAAATAGAACACTGTCACCATCTTCTTAGGGGGAAATTTGGACTGGCACTTGGGTACTTTTTTGTACTGGGAGTGGGTTTCTTACAAGTTATGCTCAGAATGTCTGTTTTGTTTGGTACCTGTAGGCCTTGACACACTGTCTCTTCCCATACATCTTGTGTTAAGAAGGCATTGTATTTGAAGTAGAAGGAATTGGGTTTTTTCTTTTTTAAGGGCTTAAAAAATATTTATAGGGTACCTGCTGTACTTTGCTACCTTAGTAGCTGATTAAATGCATGGACAGAATCCAGGTTTCTCAAAATCTTTGTTCTTTCGCAGTGTAGAGTCTGTGCAAACAGTTGTCCGACAGCAAAGCAGCATCACTTACCTGGCCATTGCAGTGCAGCCCTGCACGTGTATGAAACAGCCATGCATCTGGATGTGTTAGCCTAATTCTTTCTAATGAGCTGGGCTCTGCACAAAGGACCATGCTGAGAGAGTAGCAGTGCTTATTCATGTCCTTTCTGGCATGGTCTGTGACGGCCTTTGCTGCTCTGCAACTGCTTCACTAGGGGGCAGAGTGTGAAATCCCCCCTTTTGTTTTTCTTAGCACAGTTCCATCCCCACTGGTAAAACACTCACTTGGAAGGGAGTCCCCAAAAGCTCACTGGCGGAAGGCAGCTGGGGCAGTATGGCTTCACCAAACCTGGGAAGAGAAAAGAGGGCCCTGGTGCATGCAGTTCCTGCATGTGGGATGCTGAGTGAATTCCCTGTCAGCAAGCAGGCAGTCCCAGAGGGAGGCTATGGAGAAACTGTGTGGACTGGCAGGGTAGGCTGTCCCTGCCTGCCAGCCAGCTTTCTCCCACAACAGGGTTTCTGTGAGGCAGGGAACGAGCACCATGTTGCAAAGTCATTCCAGTCACTAGGCCTATGTTTTCTTCCTTTTTCTTCTTTTACGAACAGGTGCCTACTCCACCTCTCTTTCCTATTTACTGCCATCCTTTCTCCAAAGTAGTTGTCACACTACCACCTTTCTGCTAGTTAGGGAGAATGCAGGCCACATTTGCTCAGGTTGTGTTGGTTGATTTTCTGCTTGCTGCAGAGTAGTTGTCTGGCTCTGAGTTGAATACACGTCTGGTCCACTCAGCCTGTTGTGATATTCAGGTTGGCACTGAGGTTTCTTGCTCTGTCACACTGCAACCTCAGGATTTGTGTCCTGCACACCCCTCTTAGCTTTCTCCACCCTCCTGCTCCCAGTTTCTTTCTAGGCCTCTCTCCCTCCCATTGAGGGGATTTTTTTAGTATTCTCCTGCTGGGAAGATACTAGCTTTCATTTTTTGCTGTACAGTATTTTTCTGTCATGTAACTTTCCCTATGTTACTATCCTCCCTTACCGCACTGCTTTTTGAAAAGTATGGACTAGGAGAGCCTGTTCAGAACCCATGGCACAGGAGCTGGATTCTCCAATGGCATTAGGTATTACCATGGGCACTGCTCTGACTTTTCAATTGTCCTCAGTCCTGACTGAGGAGCCCTAACAGCATGTGGGATTGATGGCATGTGGGAGAATTGGTGAGAAATCCACTGAGGGTGGTTTAACTGCATGGTAGTGGAATAAAAAGAGGTGGTTTTGCTAAACTGAATACAACTGCTCAGAGTACACACTTATCTCTGGGCAAGCAGCTGTCCCCTTTCTATTGACACTTTTGAGCCTAGTGATGGAGATAAATCTGTCAGTGACTAAGGAACAGGGCTTTGCCAGCAACACTGGCAAAGGGACCATTGGGTAGTAATGTCCACACATGGCCCATGTCTAAACTCCTGTTTCATTGGCCTAGAAGACAACTACACTTAGGTATCTACTGTAGACTGGTCTTAACCTCTATTATCAAAATTTCCACTGACGGTAACAAGTGGTTTGGAAAGTAGCTGAGACCTGTATGTGGCCAGTGGCATTGGGGAGTATTGGTCTGTCAGCTGAATTTTGTCCTTATTTTCTTTAAGGATTTGAGACCAATGGGGAGGTCAGAGAGGCTGCTTTTGGCAGGGTCTAGTGCCCTTGCTACCCCTGAGGAAAGCAGGGCTGAGGTGGAGCTGGGTGTGGGCTCGTGGCAGTGGACCACGGCAAGCACAGATGGGGCAGTCACAGGCTGCTGCACCTCGTGAGAGGCAGGTACTGCACTCACCTGTGGCTGATGTTCACTGCTGTGTTACTCCTACACCACATCTGGTAGGTGTTTTGTACTTATTGACATGTTCTACATCGGTCATTATCCTCTGTAAATATCTGTCTATCTACCCAACATAGTACAGCTGTTCCAGTCCAATAGTTATATACAAGTAAGGCTGTTTAAAGTACTGTTTATACCTGTTTAAAAACCTTACAAACACAAGACTGCTTCTTTACCTGATGGATCAGAACAGCCTAATCTACCAGTTAAATACATATTTGCTATTCCCTTTCCATGCCTCTTGGTCTGGTTTTCATATGCCAGAAAAAGAGCATTGTGATGCTACTGGTTTCAGTCACTTTGAAACATACAGCTTCTGGCATGACGACATCACATCCTTTGATATCAGTTTCTCTCTGTAAGATGTTTTTTCCCCTTCTTTAATGTGGCTACAGCATGAACATTAAAATATTTTGAGTAATGTTCAAGCAACTCTGTGTTTTCTCTTACCCATATCACTACATATTTTAGTATTTCATGACAGACTTTGATCATTTCAACATTACATGGCCTGGAAAATCATTAGCTGGAACAGAGATCTGAAGTGACAGAAAGCTAAGTGGGAATGGTGTTCTCCCCTCACTGCAGGGCAGCTGGCACACAGCTTTGGTCTGGTGCCCAGTTTTGACACCATCACTGTGTTTGCAGATACCACTCAGGCACATGAACCCGACCCCCACCCCACTGCCCGAGGGGTGTCGGGTCTGTGAGGCACAGAGCCTGACGGGCTCTTCATGTTGCTGCCACCTGTCTCCTGTCCTCCCCTTCCCCAGCTCCATGCAGGGCGGCACAGCAGGGACAGTGCTTTGTCTAGCAGAAATAAGTATTAACAGCTTTCTGCTACTTGCACACACATCACCTACCAAAAATTACCTGGCAGGGGCTGGGCTGGGCCTTCAACCCACCACGAGAGAAAGCAAGGAATGGGACAGCACTTACAGAGTGTTTGAATATAGGCCCCGAAACTACAAGTGGGGGGTAACGGCCACTGTACCTGGGCCAACTGGGGGGTATTGCTGCTCCAAACTGTGTGTTCTGAGTGAAACACCAGATGGGCAAAGGAGATGTTTAAACATCTGCTCCACATGCAAAAGGAGAGTAAAAGTGGTGGAGCGGCACACCATGCTCCAACTGCTGCTCAGAGCTAACTTTTCTAGGGAAAAGGCCTCCAGTCATGGACCCTGTGCCCCAACAGCAAATGATTAAAGCCTTGCTACTCTTGGAAATGCTCTCAAATCCTTTTACCCTCATCCCCTACTATTATTTACTTTACAGTTTTTGCAGTAGAAAACTACTCTGGAAAATTCAATGTACTGGACAACAGAAGGGGCACTGACAGCAAAACAGCTCCTGTATTTGTACAGCTGAGGGTTGAGGTTAACTTGACTGTGCAGCTCTGTCTTCGGGAACAGCCCAGAGAAAGTACAACCCTGCTTTTAATTCTTTTCTCTTAGGCATCTGCTTTACAGTTTTATTCCTGCCAAATATTTATTAACCTACAAGAGGGTTCTGCTTTACATTAAAAAATAAACTGCTCGTTTTCTTTTCCCCCACAAAAGCATCAGTGCTTTCTCTGAGCTGGTCTGTATGTTGCTGGCTTGGAAAACACATTCCTGTCTGTATCACTGCTGACACCAAGGATGAGAGAGAGGTTCATAGGCCAAACTAGTCAGGCGGACTAAAGGAGAGCTGCTCTTCACCCTGAAGATTTGCAAGATGACAGCATCTGCACTTGGCTTCAAAGGGTCCCAGCTCTTCTGTTAATGTTTCCAACCTGGAACAAACAGAAAGACTCAAACCCTTGTTTATGTAATTCAACATTTGTAAAAGCCCTGTGTGTATCCCTGAGAGCAAAATGAATTATGCACTAAGTGGATCTGGCAACCATATAGGCAGTTAAAGCACAGGATTTCAGCTGTGGCAGCTTTCCTGAGCGAAGCCATCAATCCTAGACTTCCACTCTCACCCCTTAGCCCCATTCACAGTCCAAAGCAGGAGGAGAATGGTGCCTGGGAAGTCCTTACAAGGAGGATGGGGAAGCCTTGCTCCCTTACACTCTGCCTTGGGTGGATGGGGAGGAAAACACACAAGCCCTGAGGAACAAGCTCTGGGGCTAAAAATGGTCAGGCCTTTTTGTTTCTGAAATTCAGATTTTGCAGCAATTTCCATCTCACAGATCAATGGCTGAGGCCTGTTGCTGCCAACTGCCCTTGCAGCTTCACTGTGGAAAATACAGTTCTGCTGTTCTGTGTTTGTAATCCTCCCCCTTTCATACCCTAGGAATGGAGTAAGGAGGAAGGACTTGTATTATTTAAGTAATTATTTAAGGATGAACACAAACATCAGCTTTACTGCAGACACACCAGCAATTCTCACACAGAGATTTCCTTCATCAGCTCTACTGATTCTGCTATGCTCCTGCAGGGAGAGCACAGGCTGCGATGCCAATGGCTCAACTTCCATGGGCTGTCTTCCCAACAGACCAAGGAGGACACTGTCCAGCTCTAACAGAGACCTGTCTTATTTATACAGGTAAATCAGGGGCAAGTTATTAACACCAGAAATAGAGATGCATGAAAGGAATTACTACTGTCTGCTATTCCATTTTTCTTTCCTTAGCATTTGTGGTGGCTGGTACCAACGTTTCTGTAATAGGCAACTGAAGAACATGGAAAATCAGAAAGCAGAAATGATGGGGAGCTTGATGATTAGCTATTAATTTCTCAGCTTTTTGTCTATTTTACAATGTCATTTCTTCATTTTCCTGGCAAGACAAAAAAAACCCCAGACCATTCCGTTCTTATTGCCAACAGTTATTCCCCCCATTGCTCTGGAAGTGGAGCCTGCCCACAGCAGTCACAATACCTGAGCAGCTCATCCAGGTGTACAGCATGGCAAGAACCCATGGGCACTACCTGCCTTTCCAGAGAAGGAGACAGAGAAGCACAAAAGGGTTTTATTTTGGCATAGCCTGTTTCCAGGGCTGATGAATCAAACCAACTGTACTGTAAAGATCTACTCTTTTTAGGAGAACAGATTGGCAGTTACTCACTGAAGTATTTTAATTGCAGAATAGCATAGATAATTCACCCAATTTACTTCAGTGGGATTCCCACTATTTTCAAATTACTTGCAAATTTAGGCTGTTTAGCAAGTCCTCAGGGCTGCTTGTTCACAGGTACTCCTCCGATGTGTGGCACAGGGAAGCCTCCCTTAGAGCAGCAACTTTGGGCACTCTTGGTGAAGGAAATGATCCAGAGGTGGGATTTGTAATAGTTCTGACTACTGAAAAGCCAATGCTCCACCTCTTTGCAATAGCACAGCTGCCTCTGACCACACTTGAATGAAGGCTAGGAAGAAAGCTTATGTCTACCAACACAAAGCTGCAGAGCTTTTCTAGGAAAGAACCCTTCCAAACACATCAGTTGCCACCACAGCTGATTTATCCTGTCAGCCACAGCCAGGCTCCTCCATGCCTGGTTCAGTCCCAAGTGCTGACAGTACAGATGAGGCTCACAGCTACCAGGCAGATTGACAGAGGAGCTGCCCCAACCAGAACACTTTCAGTTCAGCGATTCAAGGCTCACTGTTTCACCTGCCATAACCCAAATGCCATTAGCAGTGGCAGCCAAAGGAGGAGGGGTGGGATGAGGAAGGAGAGGAGCAAAAGAGCCATGCAGCA